AATAAAAAAGAAAGCTACTTTCATGAAGTGAAAAATGGGTTAGTGCAAAACTCATAACTTTCTCGGTTAATTTCACTATCCAACACGAAATGCCCCAAAACGTAATTTTGGTTCTCGGAATAAAAATAAATTGTGTTATCAAACGTAATTCTGATTCTCAGAATAAAAATAAAATATGTTAACAAACGTAATTCTGATTCTCAGAATTGTTCCAAGGCACAGAAATAGAAAAGAATCATTTCTTTTCAGAAACAGTGCCAGGAATCAGAATGATTGTCATGCGCAGCCGTATTTTTCATGCTTCAAAATGAACATACTCTTGTGCAGAGATATAAAATCTTTCATGTGTTGATTGACAATCAACATTACATTCCTTTTTTGAAACTTCAGTTATTAATAGAGTTGTCAAATGGGCCAGCCTGTTTCATTTAGCCCTAGCTCGTATGGGTTAAGGCTAAAAAGCCCGCAGGGTCAAATGAACCTCAATAATCAAGGCCTGCACGGGCCAAAAGCCCTATTAGTTAGGGCCAACCCATAGGTCATCCAAAATTATAATTTCACAATTTTTTTATCATATTCAATACATTAAAAAATATTTTAACAAATAAATCTTTAACACTTTCTTAATATATTTTATACAAATTATAAATATTTTATAATTTAATTTTTTAATAAAATAAGATTTGTACATAAATATACAAGTGAAAATGTAAACAAAATTTTAATATAAGTGAAAATTTAGTTACTACTTTTACTAAATTTAGTTACTACTTTTACTAAATTCATTATTAAATGATGCTATCAAATAAAAATTTTCTCATCGGAGTCATAACAGAATACAACAATTATAGTGAAAAACTAAAAGTAATGATAGAAAAATTATTTTAATACCAGTATTGAATAACTGCTCTTAGTATGTTATATATTTGAAAGTAAAATAATTGATTTTCTTTAACTACTACCGTTACAAAAAAAAATAGTTATTATTATCCACAAAATTACTAAAGTGCATTGTATACGATATGTTTCAATACAAATTTGGATGTATAACATGCTTAGATGTCAATAGAAAATTTTATTTTTATTGATGCGTAAATAAAAATCTGTTAAAACATATCACTACTGAAAAATTAATTTTTGTTGTAAAATATTATGGATGAACTTTCACATAGTTCATAACATGTGACTCTTTGTTTTTCATGACCTTTGATATATGCTATAATTATCACACTAATGATGTGTTGAATTGTAGAATACATCCAAAGTGGTATTATAAAATATTATGGATGACCTTTCACATGGATTATGGATAACATTTCACATTGATTATGGATGACTTTTCATAGATTATGAATGACCTTTCACATAGTTCATAACATGTGACTCTTTGTTTTTTCATGACTTTCATGTTTAAAAATGCATCTAAGATAGGTTCTTATATAGGACTCTCTGCTCGTACTTATTCTTATTTTATTCTTTCTTTTAATTTTTTTTTACATTTTATTTTCCTTTCTTTCATATTCCACTTTAGTTTATATTCTCCATCAAATTCACAATAATTTTTATTTATATTTATAAATATTTAAATTTATATAATTTTTAGTTTTTTAAATAATAAAAATTTTGATTAAAGAAACAGTTTGGTCCTCGGGTCAGCCCTAACCCAGCCCGCTAAATTATAGGACTTTGAAGGTTAGGACTAAAGAAGGCCCTACCACAAAAAAGCCCTAAAGAATTAGGGTCAAATATAATATTTTGCGGGCTGACCCGCGGACTTTAATCTATTTTGACACATCTACAATTATATGTTGTTCCATGATAATTATAAATGGCCCATGTAGAAGAGATTTTACCTTAAGGAATTTATATGATATGTCTATGATATAAAAAGCAGGAGCTAGTTAATATGATCTTGTCTTCCATTTGGTTACTTAATATATTTCAACATTGAATGTAGAGTTGATTACTAGCATTAAATGCTTTAAATTTAAAATACAAAAGTCCAAAAGCACAACTACATCATTAAACCTTTTATATATACATATATATGTTCAGCATACTAAATCAAAAGGGATTTAGTTTTACATGTTAAATTGATTGTTCGTGCATTTCAACGATTCTATCAAAAAAAAACTAATCAAACATGGTAGGAAAACCCATAAAGTTTATAGTACCAACTTTGCAAGTTTAGCATTTGTGCCAGATATGTTGAGGCCTGCTCCCAAGTTCTCATTCGGTTTAGTTGAATTCGCTGCAAAGTGATCAGATGGAAGATTGTTAGTTACATGAACTGCATTACAATTTTCAATACTAGTCTCCTACTTTGCACCTTTCACAGATCTCAGATTATAAACGATGAATTTTTATCATTCAGATAAGATAACCAAAAGATAAATCAATGACTTTAAAATATACCATTTCCAAGCATCATATTATGCCGCCGCTGCTGCTTAATTGAAGGAAAATCCTGCAACAGAAAGGATATCATTAGACTTTCTAGCCTAAGATTCTAAGCATAATTTCTAACATCCTGAACTATAGAGAATAACTTGTACATCATAATGCCTTAAAATATAAATTCACACCAACATACATTGTTATACCCATGGCCATAATCTGGTGATCCCTTACTTCCACTTGCAGCACTACTATGCATGAATAATTTTTTTATTAGGTTTAGAAAAATGTGATCAAGATGTTCAAGAGAAGAACAAAATGTACCTCCATGAAACTTCATCTCTGTCGTTTTCTGGTATTGAAAATCTGTTTCCATTTTCTTTTGATTCCTTAGTTATAAAACTTGCAAGTTTCTAGTACATCTATTCATCTAAACCAGGTTTTTCTCACCTGAACAAAATGCAAAAGCAGTTGTATCATTTCTATTCATGAATATACAAACTCACACATTCATTCATCATGGAAGTTGCTCTATCAGGAAGAAATGTAGATTGAATCCATTAGTAATTACTAACCCCATCCCAAAAAGAATATTAACATTCCATTAAATCTAAACCAACTGGAAACTTGCATTGCATAGAAATTATGGTAGAAAAAATAAATTAAAGAAAGTACTATGATTAAATCTATGGAAAGATTTAGGATTACCCCAGCTATGGTAGGTTTATTGGAGAGCCCCCTGGGGTCATGCATTGCATAAAGTACTGTGCCGTTTGCCTAGACCAAACAACAAAGAATGTGAAAATGAAGTACGTGACTTGTCCCTTTATCATAGTCAACAAAAGCAACCTGCGATAAGATACAATGATATGTATATCACTACCTGATTTGGCCACATGTAGTGACACAAGTAAGAACCAGCTGCATGTGGATTTAAAAAGGGGTTGAAGTAGACCCAGGATTGTAATCTGCCTATTTAGAAAAGAAGTATAGAGTAAGTTTTTTTTTTCTGTATTATGAGAAACACAAGTATACATGACCAAGGTACCAACACAGATTGGTTCTAACCAGAAAACCTTTTATACCACCTGCATAGAAGTAGTCCGGTGTGGTGCCAAAGGTTTGTTTATAGTTACCTGTTAGAAAAGAAAAAGACAAAATTGAAATAAACTAGAGAATATCAGCTATAAGCAGATTGCAGTCAGAGAAAAAATAAGTGAAGATCGCCATAAAATAGTGACTAACATCTTGAGGCACCATAAATTTGTACACTCTTTTAAACGTATTGGATTCTTCTGTACCCATCAAGCTCAAGAAACTTGTGAGTTCAGCAGCTTCCTAAATGAATAACTGCTTCAAAATCAAATACCAAGAGAATGAGAATGTAGTAAAGAACGAGGTCAGGTTCATTTAAATATGTGACTTAGTTGTTCTAAAGAGAAATATAAACAAGATTATAGCGCAATCCTTTACTTTTCCCTGCGTTTTCTAACAGAAGGGTAATTTAATTGTCAAAGCATAGACTAGCACGAAAGTTGCATTAAAAGTTCATCAATTACGTTCGATAAATTAACTGCGAAGTATACTTCGCCAAACTCACCCACATTAGCATTACTAGATAATGTTTGATCAAGTTCGATAAATTCAAACTTTGAAGAAACAATGAGATTAAATAGATATAGCCAAACAAATTAAAGTGAATTATTTACATTCAATTAATACAAAATCACAAATCTTCTTCTCTTCCTTGCCCCCATTTTTTTTTTTCCTTTCAATTTAGTCTTGAAAGACATATAGTTTAAGGTGAACCCTCTTTTCAGTTATACAATCCTCCATCAACAAAATAAATAAATAAATAAATTTCATGTAAATTATAAGCCTATCCCAATTGATTTTTTTTCCAAAAAAAAGAAAAAAAAAAAAAAAGTACACAGAATGAATATATATATATATTTTTTTTGGTAATCTTTTTCCCACACAGAATGAATATTACATTGTCAGAAATATTCCAAAATAAAAAACCACACATATACAAAAGATGTGTAGATAGGATAGGACCAATATAAATGAACATGTTTGAATTGCTGAAGCATAAAATAATAATAATAATAAGGTAAAACGAAAAAAAAACCCAGGTCGAAAATCTGAGCATTCTTTATTTAGTATAAAATCTAAAACTTATTTGATATTATTAAAATAATATAATTTGTTTTTTTTACAGAGAATACATTAAAATTAGAATAAATATATTTTTGGTCCTTAACAAAAAAACACGGTCCCTACTTTAGTTCCTTATAAAAATAAATTAGTCAGTTAGTCCTTAATAAATTCAAAGTGGACCCATTTTAATCCTTTTGAGGGACTAATATTGGTCTTTTTTGAATTTGTCAGGGACCACGATTTCAACTAAATGGGTCCACTTTGAATTTGTTAGGGACTAACTGACTAATTTATTTTTATAAAGAACTAAAATGGAGACCATATTTTTTGTTAGGGACCAAAAATGATATTTACTCTTAAAATTAAATTCATTAATATTCATTATCACTCCCTGTCAATAGAACAAGGTCGAAAACCCAATCCATAAAGTAGGTAGACTCGGAAACTCGTCGGTGACTCATCGATGCAACTCAACAGCAACGTCTTGATTTTCATGAAGAAACCTCCATATGTGTGGTTCAAACCCAGTCTCTGCTCCGTATTCTCCAACTCGACCGAGTCGAACTCGCTCCAAGCGGAGAGATTGAAGACTCTGGAATGGAGCTCAATATGTATACAGGTTTAGCCGTTCAAGTAAACCGCCATGACCTTCATTTTCTATGGTTTATGTTTCGTGATTTCAAAAAACCAGTTCTGAGAAACCAGTTCAGAAATATAATTAGTTCTTTCCAAACCGAACAGGTGTCAAACCAAACCGAACCAGTTTGAGTAAATAAAAGAGTTCCGTTCCTTGAACCGAACTAATTCAAACCGTTTTGGATGCTGGTGCGGCGGTGCCCTAGAATACACCTAAATGCTGCGAAAGAAACACTGAACAAAATCAAATGGCAGACACAGCACGGTTACAAGGAGACTCAGTGAGACTTTTCAGTGAAGGGATTGGGTTGGTCCTGTATCGGTGGTCGGCACTTCGAACCGCCGTTGAGAACGAATGGGGCGGCCGCGAGTCACGCCTCAAAGCCGACCAACTCTCCGCCGATCTACTTTCCTGGTTCACTCAATCCAAAGGTATCGATATAAATTAATTCGTACTTTTATTTATATTTTTTATTTATTTATTCATATCTGAATTTATTTATTGTCGGAGCTCAGAGCCACTTTATATCGATGACTTAGAAAGCATACTCGATGAAGGAATGCTTTCTCTCAACGTAGAGGTTGAAGATGGCAGCATTGAAGAGGTATTTTTTATTTATTTATTTTTATTATTATGTTGAAAGAATTCTGTTCTGTTGTCCATATTAATTATTCATGAATTTAAACTTAAATTATGTTCCCATATGGATTTTATTAATTTTCGTGGCTGATGATAGTTACTTGTTAATGATATATGTATGTTTTAGCGACGCTCACTTTTTTCTTAATTGAAATATCCAAGTTCATGATTTATGTAGGTAGCTGAAAATCTAATGGTTATGCATCAAGAATGCTTACAAGGTAATTTTAGGTCTATCGAGATTCTCAGGGAAGCCAATCTTAAGCAAGCTGCTCATCCTCATGTAACGCAGGTAATTATAGTCCAGATTTCCAAGTTGTTTTAAGGCAAACTTGTTGTGCAATTGATCAATCAGACGCTGGATCAAGTCAGAATTATTTCCTGTGATGATGATGTCATCCACATAAACTAGAATAAAAATACAGCTGCCATTTGATCTAAGAATGAAGAGAGAAGGGTCACATTTGCTAGAGATAAAGCCAAGATGATGAAGAGCTGCCCCAAACTTTTCAAACCAGGCTCTAGGAGCTTGTTTTAACCCATAGAGAGCTTTGTTGAGCTTGCATACAAGTGTTTTGTGTAGCGGAAGCCATGGAAGAGATGAGAATTTGGATCAGGGCCCCGAGAATGGAGCTCTGATACCATAAACGAAGAAGGTGAAAGAAAGAGAGCTTGAGAGTCTAAAGAAATCTGAGTTTCATAAATCTGAAAAATTACATTCTAATTTGAAGAATTAATCTATTTATAGATCTATTAAACTAAACTAACTCAAGAGAGTTAATTAACTATACAAGATTAACTCACTGAGTTAGAAATCTAACAGAAAGCTTAGTTAGTTATAAGTCAGTTACATACACTGTAACTGATTCTGTAGAATACAAACTAACCTACTCTAATATTCCCCCTTCAAGCTCAAGGGGGTTTTGTCAGCATTGCATGATCCAAAACCTTGAGCTTGTCTCTCAGTTCTGCAAATCTGGAAGCAGAGAGGGGTTTAGTGAAGGTGTCAGCAACTTGTAGTGGAGCTGGAACATGCTGCACAATGAGAGATTTAAAATTGTTAGGATATTGTTCCTCCTCGTGGAGAATTTTGCAGAATAAGGAGAATCTTGTTCCTGCCCACGCAGAGGGGATAATTCAAAGAGAGTTAAAATTTTCAACTTGGTAATTATAATGGCAAGGCGAGAGCTTTCCAGCACGTTGAAGAACTTGAAGTTTATGCAAAGGGCAGCTCCGAGGGAAGAAAGAACCAAGAAAGAAGATGATGTCAAACCTGATAGAAATTTTCCTATAAATTCCAACATTACTAGAAAATGTGTGGTTATAATGGAAGGTGATCCCCACCCAGGTGCACTTAAAGGTCGAATGTCATTTCAAGGATTTAATCCTTCTGTTGATAAACTAAATGAGGAAGAAGCAAGACTTGGTCAGCCAGCTCCTGAAACTACTATTTCTAGAAATCAAAGTGGAAATGTTTGTTTTACAGAAAATAGCTCTTCGGTACAAGGTCCAGAATGTTCTAACTTGGACAAAAAAAAATTCTGAGGTTAATGGCAATGTTAAAAGGAAACAGGTGGAATTAAACTGTGAAGCACAATATCCTAACAAATTACCCAAGAATGACCAAGGTAATAGACAATCATCGCCCAAGAATTTCAATAAACCGATGGGAGATAAGCTAGATTGGAATGTTCTTAGACCATCCAAGTGTCAAACTAAATAGGATTAGTTGTTTGATTGTAAGAGCAAATCATGGTAGAGGTTTGGTTCTGTTAACATGTTTATGTCTCTCTGAGATGGGTTTTCTTTTGTTGCTCTATTAACCTGTTTTCTGTTTTTGTTAAATCGACATATTTTTCAACTATTTTTTTAAAGCTTCAGGATTTATCAAGATGCAGATAGAAAACATATACCAGGAATTGGGACTAGATTATGGTATTGTCACTCCGTTATATAATATTACTGGGCATGTTTGGTTGATGATGCACATTTTCCCTTGTTTACATATGTCCTAAGTGACAATTAGATGATCAACCACTTCCCTTGAATTGGAAAGGAGTAACGTGATAGGCCCCTGAAGACATATACCAGGAAACGATTTAGAGGGATTTTCCCTCCTGCTGACGTGACCACTGCTGCTGAGTCAGCTCTCAATTCGTTAGCCGTGCAGATGCATAACAGAATGGCTGACGTGGATAACAAACTTAGTGGTGATGGCTAAATGGGTAGAATGGGTGAAAAGCATGCTGTTAGCTTTGGTTGATAAATAGGGGTGTGAGCTTGGTAACAGTAGGCTGAGTTTGGATTAGAAATTGGGAGGATTACAGAGCTCCTCGAATTGCTCTGCCATTTATCTTTCTTTGCAGATATTTCCGTTTTATTGTAATTTCCTTGTTTCATGCTGAAATTGGTGTCTGTAACCGAATTTCCTTATCAATATCAATAGATTGTTATTTTGTTCCTTGTCATTTCAAGATATATCAGTCGGTTCCTATCATAACGTTAGACATTTATGATGTGCTAGATTGTAAATGATGATGAAGACGTTGAAGATGAAGATGAAGATGATGATGATGATGAGAACATTATTGGGGTTGATAATTCTTCAAACATGGATCTGGACATTCCTAAATCTGAATCAAAGTTGAATTCGGTGAAGAAGCCAGTTAATGGGCCTCTGACAAAGGTTTCAGGTGATGGATGGGTTGTAGTTTCAAACAGAAGAAACAAAGGTAGACAAAATTAGATGAAAAATCATTTAAAATTTTCTGTTATAAGGATGTGTGAGAGTCTTCCTCTGTTTTCTTGTGCTTTTTGAGGTATTGCAAACCTTCTTGAGGTGGGTAACTATGTATTCGGATTTTTTGTTTCCAGTTCTTTTCTCACATGAATTTCTCCTCTATTTGTCATATATGCATGTAACTGTTGCAGTTACATTTATGCTTTCTGTTGTAACCGTAAAAGCTTGGTAGAATTTAGGTAGAAGTTATTTTTTTCCCGACAATAGCTGCTGTTGTATGAGCTGATATACATCAGCAGTATATACTGATTGATTCAATTTTTAGATGATTCACTTTTTTCAATATCGTAAGAACCTTAAAAATATATATTGAATTGCTCTGCGCCTAACAAATTGGAGGTTTTAATTAGCTAATTCGGGACAGTGTCTATTAATCACTTTTTCAGAAAACATCATAAAGCTTGGAATTTATAGAAGCAACCATAGCATGATACTCTTGTATTAGAATAAATTCATAGATACAACAATCTCATATCCCCTTCATCACCAGTATTCACTCCTTTCTCACAACACACAGTAGCACTTGTCCTTATATTTGAAGGAACTCCACCAAGTATTTGCCATTTTACAACATTTGAAGTATACCAGGAGCCTTTGTAGTCTTCTTCATTGCTTCTGATTTCTACCTTTGCAACTTTACAAAAATGTTGCTCAAATTTGTTTCCTTGGTCTTCATTTGATCACCAAGCTTCTTTGCTAGCTCACTAGACTTCTGATATTTCAAGATTAATTGATATCCCGTGAGATTCTTGGATTTTAACATTTCATTGCAAACTTTTTTCCTTCTCAATTATCTTGATATTTTAAAATGGCATATATTTTGAGAAACATTTCACATTGCCCCCATAAAAATATAATAGAATAATGAAGAAACGAACATGTTTTAGCATAAAAATATAATAGGAGATTAGTATTTCATGTCATAGACACAAAAAATGTAGGGTTCACTTATTTATTTATTTATTTGTTTATTATAAATGAGTGGGTCTCGCATGCTTTATGTTTATGATATAGGATATCAGTCTCTTATAACATGAGACTAGTATTTTCGTATAATATTTTATCTAATTTTCTAATACTACGGAAACTTTACAATAAAATTTTCTTGATTCCAATTTTAGCTCAACAACACAAACAACTTAGCATTGGGTGACAACCATGAGCAGTTCTCAAATTAAGTGTGATGCAAATGCTTGGTTCTAATAAGTTCATTTGCCGGAAATTTTTGCAAAGCTTTATCTTGTAATCATTCGATTGATATCTCAAGTTTCAACTGATGGTAAAAGTAAAACTCTTCGTGAGAAAACTGATTTATCATCTGAAGTCACAACATACAGGATCCTCTAAAACAATCAAATTTGAAGAGTAAATTTTGAAGATTTTGACTAGTTATGGTGTTTTGCGTTTTACTATCATTAAATCAATGTTGGTAATTGTCAATATCCATCAAGAAATTACGAGCTTCCACGCGCTGTAGTGTTGTCAGGCCATAGATTAGAATTTTCAGATCCCAACACCTTTTTGTAAACAAAATGAACAAAACAAGATTTGCTATTTGGTACTTCAAGAACAGTGCTACCCATTATTGTACCATGCATCAACTTTTTGGAGCTGTTAGAAATTTGGGAAGGCAAGGCCTTGCATCGAATTAATCCTTGTCCGCACATTGCTTAATTTAAATAATAAATTGATTAAGTTACTAAACTTCTATTATTTGTAATTAATCAACTTAACTTCTATTTTTTTTTTCCTTTTATTGATCGGAAAATATTAAAAAGAAAAAAAGTACCCTATTTAAGGAATCAAACAATTTAAAACATGAACAATAACAAGTTGCATATTTATCATAAAAATTGTTTTCTGATTGGTAAGTATTACCGAAATATTTTTATTATTGAGTTTAATTTTTGAATTGATAAATTTTGAAGTTAAAGTACTCTTTAAATTACACTAAAATTGAATTTTGTTGTTCAAATTGCATGTATCAGAGCCTGGCCCTGGACCGATGTGTACAGCAGGGACGCTGTATTTCCAGTGGGGGAGGATGTAATGTCCCACATCGGTTGGAGAGGGGAACGAAGCATGCCTTATAAGGGTGTGGATACCTCTTCTAGTGTGAGGCCTTTTGTAGGGTGTCTCAAGAAACAAAACCATGAGTCCGAGGGCACACGTGAACAGGAACCATTTGCAAATATATCAATATTATTATGATTAATAACTCTTGAAATTAGTGTATTTTATAATTTTGAAAATAATGTAGAGTTTATAATGCCCGAGACAACCTCTACAAGTTATATACAATGATAGAAACTTTTATCCTAAAAAGTATATGTATTGATTAAAAGACCAAGGCATTGTTCCTGGATATTTATAAAAGACCAAGTCAGTTACTATAGCTTGCAAAATAAATTTAGAGTATCCGAAAAGAGCAATCCTCATAAGAACAGAAATAACCTCACGGACCAAGCTAAATTATTAAACAATGCAACATGGAACCACAAAAAATCACCCAGTTATAGGAACACAGAGTCAAAACTTTGAATACAGTAATCTCATGTTGGCATCCACCATGTCAGATCTTACACTTATTTCCAATCATCAACTACATCCATGGCTATAAAAATAAAGAAATAAAAATGTTACGCCAGAAAATGTCAAAAAGAATACAACTTTCATGTGAAACTCTTAAAGGGATGACAGGTTGTTGCTAGAAGATGATGACATGGCAGCTAGAACTTCTGTAACAGACCCCATGACACTAAGAGCTGCTTTCAAAACATCCTGAGGGCATCCTGGCTTCACAATGTCTCGAACCTGAAGCAACAATGAGAAGTTCCATGAGAAGCACAACTTTGATTGAAGATTTGGAAAAAAAAAAATTAAACAATATTATGCCTGCTAACAACTTTAGACACAATAAAAAATGTGGACAACGTGATTCCATCATGCCAAAAAAGAAGTAAAGATCATCAATGTAAAACTACTCCTCATCCAGCACAAATAATGATTAATGAGGATATGAACAGTCAATGGTTTTTAGGTCTTGTAAAAGAGACTCAATGCCAGAAAGTGACCAAACATACTTCCATATTATTAAGAATATCTTTGGTATACCATAAAATTTGAATTTGTTTTCAATGTGAAACATTAAATAAGAAAATTATGTGTTTTAAAGGCTCTTGTTCTGTTAAAATATCAAAGAGTTTCAAGACCTATTCAAGGTACTCCTGAAGTTTCTTAATGCGACCCATGTAGTCCTGGTCTTCAACAGAAAGAGTTATAGGCTTGGCATCTGCACCAGGACCATCAAACTGAAGTGGACCTGGATTTCTATAAATATCGTCCATAAGAAAGCTTGTTGCATTTAGTCTCAACATGCTGCAAACAAGATCATGAATTAGAGCATGGCCTGAATTTACAACCAATAAATGAGACCAAGCAAGTTGAGGTAAAAAAACAAAATGTGTATATTGTTAGAGATCGAATTTAAACTTTGCTACATCATCTTTGTTTAACCGTCATACTAGAAGAATGGAGAACTCAGCAATTGTCCAAACAATTGTCCACCGCCAATCTAGAATAATGTTGAAGTGTGTATTAGTTGTTAATCAAATGGATAAGAAAGTAGGAACCAAAGTTGCAAACGTCGGTTGAGTCGGTTAAATTAAAAATAATATATGTAACACTAGTCGGTAGAAGTAGCCTTTATATATAGTTGTGTTTAAGAGGTATTAGTAGTATTAGTGAAAAAAAAGGAAAGAAAGAAAAGCACAGTACCCAAAGTGTCGTAGCACTTAGAAAGGAAAAAAGACAGTGAGCGTGAGATTTGTTCATGTAATTTTTTTTTTAGCAATTCCAATACAACAGTTTCTTCATCTATTCTTTTTATTTTCTCTAAATTTCCAACAAGTGGTATCAGAGCCACGTTCGATCAAAGATGACGGAGATGATGCAATCACATATTCCAAAGTTGTCAAAGAGTAATTATGGGAATTGGAGCATTCAGATGAAGACGTTGCTAGGTTCCCAAGATATATGGGACCTTGTTGAGGATGGATACATGGAACAAGTTTTATCAGATGCTCAGAGAAAGATGCTTAAAGATTTACGAAAGAAGGACAAAAAGGCTCTTTTCTTAATTTTTCAAGGTGTTGATGAATCAACCTTTGAGAAAATATCATATGCAAAATCATCCAAGGAAGCATGGGAGATTTTACAAAAGTCTTTCCAAGGAGTTGACAAAGCTAAAAAGGTACGACTCCAATCACTTAGAGCTGAGTTTGAAAACTTAAAAATGCAGAATGCAGAGCCAGTTACAGATTATTCCTCACGAGTGCAAAAGGTGGCCAAAGAGATGAAAAGAAATGGAGAGACTTTAGATTATGTCAGAGTAATGGAGAAAATCCTACGGTCACTAACAAGAAAGTTTGATTATATAGTCACTGCCATTGATGAAGCCAAAGACTTGTCAGTTATATCTATTGACGAGCTTCTGGGTTCTCTTCAAGCTCACGAGCAAAGAATGAATCTTAATGAAGGTTCTAGCAAATTGGAGCAAGCTTTGCAAAGCAAGTTATCTCTTGATGTTAATCAAGCCAGTAGCAGTAGCTATGGACGTGGCAGAGGAAATCATGGTGGATATAGAGGAGGATTCAACACTCGAGGTGGTCGTGGCATACGCGGTGGATATAGTCAAACAAATAGAAGATTTCATACGGATGTTGTAGCATATGGACGTGATCAAGGAGCATATAATAATCGTGGTCGAGGTCGTGGTTTCGTGACCCAAGGAGGAGGAAGATTTCAACAAAGAGGTGATAAATCTCACTTGCAGTGTTATAATTGCAACAGATATGGTCATCTCCACTATTGGTGTAGAGATGCTGCTAAAGTTGCGGAGAGAAGTCATTATACAACAACTGAAGAGAAAGATGATGAACCAACCATGTTGTTCACTTACAAAGGCGAGAAAAATAGTGGGAAAGATGTTTGGTACCTTGATACTGGAGCTAGTAATCACATGTGTGGCAAAAAGGAGTTATTCACAGAACTGAATGAGGAAGTCCAAGGAGAAGTTACGTTTGGCGATCTATCAAAGATCCCAGTTAAAGGCAAAGGTAAGATTATGATATTCACAAAGAATGGAGATAGAAAATACATTTTAGATGTTTATTATATACCATCTTTGAAAAGTAATCTCCTCAGTCTCGGTCAGCTTTTAGAAAAAGGATATGATATTCATTTGAAGAATAATTCTCTCATTATGAGAAATCAAAAAGGAGAATTGATTGCAAAAGTTGATATGACAAGAAATCGTCTATTCAAACTAAACATCCAGACAAGTGCAATAAAGTGCATAAAGACTATCATGGAAGATAGTTCGTGGTCATCTTGGATTCACTGGCCTGAAGCTGCTATCAAAAGCAAAGATGGTAAATGGATTACCAATGATAAATCAACCTGATTAGTTGTGTGAAGGATGCATGAGAGGAAAGCAACATAGACAAAGCTTTGAAGTTGGCAAATCATGGAGAGCAAAAAGACCACTGCAGCTAGTTCACTCTGATATAGCTGGTCCATTTGATATTCCATCTCTTGGAGGAAATAGGTATTATATTACTTTTATTGATGATTTTAGTAGAAAAGCTTGGGTATATATTCTTAAAGAAAAATCAGAAGCTCTTGAAAAATTCAAAGAATTCAAAGTAATGACAGAAAAGCAAAGTGGTCAGTATCTGAAGATACTCAGAACAGATAGAGCGGGTGAATACACTTCCAAATTATTTGAAGAATTTTATAGGCAACATGGAATAATTCATCAATTGACAGCAGCCTACACACCACAACAGAATGGTATAGAAGAAAGAAAGAATCATACAATTCTTGATATGACAAGGAGCATGCTCAAAGAAAAGCATCTGCCAAGAACACTCTGGGCTGAAGCTGTCCAATGTGCTGCCTATCTATTGAATCGATGTCCAACAAAGAGTGTCAAGTTCAAAACATCAAATGAAGCATGGAGTGGTAGAAAGCCAGAGGTAAGCTATCTAAGAATTTTTGGTTGCATTGCATATGCCCATATTCTAGATCAGAAGAGAAAGAAGTTAGATGATAAAGGAGAAAATTGTATCTTTACTGGCTACGAGCATAGGAGTAAAGCTTACAGACTATACAATCCCCTGACAGAAAAGGTAATCATCTCAAGAGATGTGGAGTTTGACGAACAGATTACTGGAAATGGAATGATGAAGAAAAAAGAGTAGAAGGCTTATTCTTTAAAGTTGATGATAACTCAACAGAGCAAATAGTTGAAGCAGGCAATGATCAGACACCTCCACCAAGTCCTAATCCAACAACTCCTGCATCTACACCCTCAACCTTAGGAAGCAGTAGCAGTAGCAACAATTCAGGGGGAGCAGCAGCAAAGATGAGAAGCTTAAGTGATATCTATGACGCTACAGATCCGATACAAACTACCCTTGATTACTCATTATTTTGTTTAATAGCTGAATGTGATCCAGTGAGATATGAGGAAGCTGTAGAAGATGAAAAGTGGAAGAAAGCCATGAATGATGAAATTGCTGCAATCAAAAGAAATGACACGTGGGAGCTTACAACTACGCCTAAGAAACATAAGCCCATCGGAGTAAACTGGGTGTACAAGACAAAGACTAATCAAGAAGGAAAAGTGGAGAAATACAAGGCAAGATTGGTAGCTAAAGGCTACAAGCAGAAATATGGAATAGATTATGATAAGGTGTTCGCACCAGTTGCAAGGATTGACACTATCAGGCTTCTTACAGCAGTTGTAGCACAAAAGCAATGAAAGATATACCAGATGGATGTGAAATCAGCCTTCCTCAATGGTTACCTACAAGAAGAAGTCTATATTGAGCAACCACCAGGTTATGTTAAAAAAGGATAAGAAGATAAAGTTTATCGGCTAAAAAAGGCGCTATATGGATTGAAGCAAGCTCCAAGAGCATGGAACACAAGGATAGATGAATACTTTCATAAGAATGGATTTGTGAAGAGTCCGTATTAACATGCTTTGTACACGAAGAAGAATGAAGATGGGGATATGATGATCGTGTGTCTGTATGTGGATGATATAATCTTCACAGGGAATAATCCATGTATGTTTGTTGAATTTAAGAAAGCTATGACTAAAGAACTTGAAATGACAGATATTGGAGAAATGTCTTATTTTCTTGGAGTTGAAGTAAAACAAACGGAAGAAGGAATTTATATGTTATAAAAGAAGTATGCAGAAGAAATACTGAGTAGATTCAGAATGAAAGATTGCAAGCCTATTTCAACACCAATAGAAGCAGGAACGAAGTTGAAAGCTGACTCAGATAGAGAACCAGTAAACCCAACACTATTCAAAAGCCTGGTCGGAAGCTTGAGGTATTTGACTTTCACTCGACCAGATATCATGTTTGCAGTTGGTCTAATAAGCAGGTATATGGAGCATCCAAAGCAGGATCATTTCAGTGCAGCAAAGAGAATTTTAAGATATATCAAAGGAACCTTCAATCATGGATTATTCTATACACATTCCCAAGATTCAAGGTTAATTGGCTATGCAGATAGTGATTATAGTGAAGATGTAGATGATCGAAAAAGCACTTCAGGATATGCTTTTCATATTGGCTCAGCAATATTTTCATGGTCATCAAAGAAACAACAGACAGTTGCTCTATCATCATGCGAAGCTGAATACATAGCCGCAGCAGCGTGCACGTGTCAAGCGATTTGGTTAGAGAATATTTTGAATGAATTTCATTATGAGCAAGAAGGTCCAATTACTATATACGTAGATAACAAGTCTGCTATATCACTTGAAAAGAATCCAGTCTCCCACAGCCGAAGCAAGCATATTGACACGAAATATCATTTTATTCGGGAGCAAGTTAAAAACAAAGTTGTGGAATTAGTCTACTGCAGAACTGAAGAACAATTGGCAGATATTTTTACGAAGCCATTGAAGACAGATGTGTTCAACAAACTCGAAAATATGATTGGCATGCAAAGTCAAATTTGAGGGGGAGTGTTAGAGATCGAATTTAAACTGTGTTACATCATCTTTGTTTAACCGTCATACTAGAAGAATGGAGAACTCAGCAATTGTCCAAACAATTGTCCACCGCCAATCTAGAATACTGTTTAAGTGTGTATTAGCTGTTAATCAAATGGATAAGAAAGTAGGAACCAAAGTTGCAAACGTCGGTTGAGTCGGTTAAATTAAAAATAATATTTGTAACACTAGTCGGTAGAAGCAGCCTTTATATATAGTTGTGTTTAAGAGGTATTAGTAGTATTAGTGAAAAAAAAAGGAAAGAAAGAAAAGCACAGTGCCCAAAGTGCCGTAGCACTTAGAAAGGAAAAAAGACAGTGAGCGTGAGATTTGTTATTGTAATTTTTCTTTTTAGCAATTCCAATACAACAATTTCTTCATTTATTCTTTTTATTTTCTCTAAATTTCCAACATATATAAATAGTGAGAGGAAAGGAGTAAGTACATATACACATAACTGACCAAGAGGAGTACAAATGAAATTCCCTAGTTATATTTTATAATCCATGTGCAGGCATATACAAATACATCATACAACATGACAAAAAGTCTTACTCATATGCTTTTCCTCTCAAGTCAACAGTAGCTGGATGAATAGTAGGTTTTCCAATTGATGTGGATCCTGGATTTGGAGACCAGCGCTTCACTGTCATCATAGCCGGAAGTTCATCACAAACAGACAAAAAGCTGAACATTCTCTACCATGAAAAGCATTGATATATAATACAAAACCATCATGAATAACCATTAAATAGGGGATTCAAGCAAAAAACATGAAAAAAAACAAAGACATACTGCAATTGGAGAAGCCCCACATCGCCACTTGTTTACAGGATTCTTCAGGTTAGTTGCAGTTGCCATGTATCCATTTAAACCGGCAGCTAGTATATGATAGCAGATGTGTCCAAGAACCTGCAATAATATCAAAAAGTTATTAACAAGAGGAAACACTTAAAGATGATGCTTATTAAAAGGGCTAATCAAAGAAAACTGAATCAACATACATATCCATAATCACAGTCAAATTTTGATGGCAGAGATCCACGAGCTTGATAATCGAAAAAATGGCAAATGGCACTGAATTTCTTTCCCTTGTATGTGCCTTCTTTCTGTCAAAGTAACAACAATATTTTTAAACATCCAGGCATAAGTGGATAATTTAAGGCCAGGTCCACAATGCTTTCTGGACTATCAAGCGAAGGAGGGAAATAGCCACAAACAAACAAACAAATACATAAATAAATCCATGCATAATAATCTGTTGAAGTGCAAAGAAAATGGTTGCCAATCCAGTGAAGGGTATATAGAAGACAGAATGGAACATATACCGTTGGAATCTATAAGCCTACTATGTTCCTTTTAGGGATGGAGTCACTATATGGGTTATACCTCTAGCATAGGTAAAGACCAAGCTAGTAGGTACTATTCCAAGTATGAATGATAACAGATTATAATGGGGATAGGGAGTGTGTATGTATGTGACTCAAGAATAATAGGCAGAATAACGATACATAAGATGCCCTTCCTTGTGTGAGGAGAGGGATATTTATAGGGGAAGGAGATGTTGAACCTGTGCGGGTTGGTGAGGAGGGGGTCAACCTTCCTTGGGATCAATTAGGGGTGGCTGACACTGTTATGATAGTAGTGATGTAGCCCCTATGCCTGGCGATGTCAGCGTATGACGATGGGGTAGTTACCACATATGGTATCTGGGCGGTCTCCCAGGGAGTTGGAATCGATCCCAAGGTGAGGCATTTTGGTGTCTCACCTAGGGAGGCAGTCGCCTTGGGGGCAGAAAAGCTGAAAGGTTGGTAGTTCTGACGTGGATAAGGATAAAGGGTTTGGGCTTAGGTCGTTGGGCCATTATGGCGCCATCTAGAACATAACATAGACCCAGTGACAATACCTGATGCTTGCTTATCTATGCTTCCACAAGGTATGCTAGTAGTTTCTCAGTCTCAATCTGCGAGTCATTAAAAAGAAAGGAGAATAAAGACATGAAGGAACTGAAATTCTAGCAATTCATATGAACAGAAAAACATCCAGTGATTATTACCTGAGATAACTGTGCTGAGTCATCTGATCCAGGGTAAAGGAGCAGCTGCAGCATTGAAGATATTAGTTAGAATTTTTGTTATACTCTTTAGAACCAAATTGACACAAGGCCAATTTTCAACACGATAAATAAGAGTTTACCTGTTTCCTAATAAAGGGTGGCATAAATTCAAATAAAGCAGATGCCCATGGTGAAAGGTGAGAAGATATATTGTCAACAGCAACACCTTGTCTGAGTAAACCATGAATTTCCTGAGGTACAAAAGACTAAGGTTGTATCCTCTATCATAAGAGAGAGAAAAATTGTAACGATAACAACTAACGTCTATGTCAAAAAAGGAAACTCCTTTTCTAAAGCTTCAACAGTCTACAGTGACTTGAAGAAACATATACAAATGCATGAACATTTGATTGACAAGAGTTTCAAAATGCATCATGCTCAGGTGGTGCCTGACTCTTAAGGAATGGGGATTTACCTTTAAGAGTGCATACATTTCAGGAATGCTCTATATCAGCATGAGAAAAATTAATTCATATAAATAATATATAAGATAAGATTTGATAATATAAGATCGATAATATAAGGCTTAATTGTATAATATGAAATATTTTTACAGCAATTTTCCCTATTAAAAATTCATTAATCTTTTATAAGTGTTAAGTTACTTTTTAAATTAAAAAATTTAATTCAGCAAATTAATAAATAAAAATTATATAATTATTAAAAAATTAAAAACATTTTCCTTCACACGAGACGAGACTAACATGAAAATACTAACTTTTATCATATAAGTTTAATATTTCTCATATCGTAGGAAATAAATTTATCTTCTAATTGTAATACAAGCACTCATGTATCGAAACTACAAATTGTAATAGTTCATACTTATCGCCATGCCAACTCTTCTATTGATTTTCTTGCTACTCTCTCCCTCAATAATTCTTCAATGTAAGATGAGTCATATTTTACCAATCCTCTCATTCTTTGAAGCGTCTTCTCCAGGCGGACATTGCTCGCGGTGTTCATCCCAAATGCGGACAGGGATATCTTTTGCTTCTTTTATTTAGTGTGTTTTTTTTTTGTTTTTTATATATTTATTTTTTCTTCTCTTTTCTCTTGTCTTGTTTCTTGATTTCTTTTCATGTATTAAAAAAAATATCTTTTACATATACATAAAAATATATAAGGCCTATATAAGAAAAAAAAATATAAGCCAACATATTTTTATATATGTTTAATAGATGGGAAAAATATCTATTCTTTAAAATGACAGATGTTATTCCTTAGATAGAAACATTAAACATTTGCTATATTATTAAAAAAAAAAAAAAAAAACACAATAAATAGTTTTAAGTAATTTTCTGCAAAACGACTTCGTTTTACCCATGGACATTACAAAATTTTCTCTTCACCCTTATCCACCTTATATTGAACCATCCCTTTGAACCTGTGGCCTTCGTCTCCCATAAACGCTACTCGCCATGGCTGCAGCAGCAGCAGCGTGTATGAGTTTCAACATATCAACAGCGTTTAAAGGACTTTCCTTATCTTCTTCATCTTCCTCTTCCTTCTTCACTGGTGGTGGTGCTTCCCCGCTTCTCCGCGTGGGTCCCACCTCGTTCGTGTCACTCCCTCGGAGGTCCCCTCTTACCATTCAGAACGCACACAAGAAGGGTGCCGGAAGCACCAAGAACGGCCGCGATTCCGAGGGCAAGCGACTCGGAATCAAGATTTACGGTGAACAGCGCTGCAAGCCAGGTTCCATCATCGTTCGTCAACGTGGAACCAAGGTTGCTTCCTAACTACCTCTTCGATTTTGCATTTTTGGAATCCTTTTCTATTGTTTGTTACCATGTATTTGTAAGAGGTTAATTACTTGATTCGAACATGTGATGTTCAGGTCACGTGGCAACAACGTTAAGTGGTGAATAAATAGTGTTAGATAGTGGTATGTCAATTAATTATGATGGGTTGCTATATGGATTGTTCTTTGATGTGCAAAACTTATGATATGAAATGGAACTTGATATAGTTGAGGATTAAGGCTAAGTTTTCCAACTTTTGTGATTTGTTGATTTGTATGTTGTTTCATTAAAATCTGTCAAATAAAATGAGGGAGATGTTACAGTTATTTATGAAAAAATTTACAACTCTTACTACTAAACTAATTATAATTTATTGAGAATTAATAATTAATTAATAAATGTATCCAATAAATTATAACCATTAGATTGATAGAAATCAACTCTGATTAGTTTAGTAGTAAGAGTTGTAAAAATTTTCAGTAGTAAATATAACCGTCCTATCATTTGGCTTAAACTTTGCAGTTGTGAAAACATGACATAATTTAGGCTAGAAAATGTATGGTGTCCAATCTATTGGTTAGAAAATGAATAAAAAACCATTTCTCATTAAACCTCAACCAGTGAGAGTGGGATGAGTACAATCCTATTATGCAATAGTTGCAAAAAAGCTGTTTCACGGATTTGAACTAGTTACTTTTCAGTCGGTCACGAAGGAACAATTTTACTATAACTGATTAGTTTAATTGCTTGTGTAATCAACGATGTTGTAACAGATTCTTTTGATGGTTGCTCATATGATAGGGTTATTCCTTAACTTTTATAACACACTTTACAGACCGGAAGAACTTCTTTATTTGAATTGTATGTTGAGGGTAATAATGCTATTGAGTGTTGAGAAAAGTAATGAAGTTGGCAAAGTTGCTGTCTAGTCTACAGTCAATCTTTGCCTTTCTAATAATAAATTCCATTCAAATTGACCCTGGTTTTTCGTACATACTGTAGAATCCTTAGTGCTATAATACTATTTTCTAAGTTGTAAGTACTTCTCTTTGCAAAACTTGAAGTATCACCCAGGAAAGAATGTGGGGCTTGGCAAAGACTATACCATCTTCTCCTTGATTGATGGAGTTGTAAGATTTGAGAAACATGGACCTGACAGGAAAAAGGTTAGATAAAGTTTTTTACAGCTTGATATATGTGGTCTATAATCCTAGAGAGTACAAATTAACGAGCTATGCAAGTTCTATTATTACAGATTAGTGTTTATCCACAAGAAATTCCGCCTAAGAACCCCAACAGCTATAGAGCAAGGAAGGCAGCATACTTCAGGATGAGGCGTGAACGCAAGAAAGCTAAACTAGAAGCAAGAATACTTCGATCCCAGCTGGTGTTGGCTTCTGCTGATGATGCTGCAATCTCTAATCCAATGTGCTAATTCTGCTTCACTCACTTAAATGTGTAAAATCCCCCCTTCCAATTTTTTTTGTTTTTGTGTACCTGCGAAATAGAACTTGATACAGTTGTGGATTAAGGCAAAGTTTTCCAGCTTTTGTGATTTGTTGTTGTATTCAAATTTTTCAAATAAATGATCATTTGGCTTCAACTTTGCAGCCTGGGAATATAAACAATCAAACATGACATAACTTAGGTGTTAGAAAATGAATTCAAAAAGTAAAAAATAAAATAAAAAGTCTTGTGGATAGTTTAGTTGCATTGTGTAGTCGACTACATTGCAACCGATTATTTTGATGGTTAATTGATGAACTGTTAGTGTAACCTTTAGCAATGTATTAAGTTTTAATGAAGTAGCAAACTAGGTTGTCTTTGTTAAAGGGCAGGGAAATTGAAACAATTACGGAACACTCATTCACTTGACATTTGTTTTGTTCTATAATTATCCGTTTGATGAATAATAGGATTTTTGCTTGATAAGTCACATATTATATACATTTTCCTTCACAAGCTATCTCAATTTGATATTTCGTTTGGAAACATTGGCATGAAGATTTCACTAGTTATATTTTATTTGTTTTAATGATGAAATTTTTTTGGAGCATAAACATATAATTTATATATTGTGTTGGTGCTTAAACTGATGAGTGGAAAGCCATATTTGCATATCTTCAAACTGAAGAGTATAAAGCCATATCTGGAGTGAAGAACTAACTCAAAAAAGACTAATAGTCAAACTCACAGGAAGTGGTACCATCCAGTGTTTACAAATGAAGAGATAACTCATTTAAGAGAAGTCTCAGCGGAGAAGAATTTTGAACTCATGAAAGAGTATGCAGTGAACAACAGAAAAGCCAACTCATGAAAGAATGCTTCTTGGATTACAGGCTCTAAGAAGAGTTAACCTGTAAATTGAACACTGGACCATTGTGATGCAATTTTTGACTCTGAGTGATTGGTTGTTCATGATGAGTAGAACAGATAATAGTATATCTTACCGCACGCTCCAACTAAGGCTTCAATCAAGGAATGATATCCTAGAGGACTGCTATTCAGTTTTAAAAAAAAAAAATTGACAAAATTAAATCAACTAAATTCAATAATGGTCTTGGACAAGATAAAGTGGTATGAACTACTAGAATTATATATCCGTCCAGAGTCAATAAAAATGCTAACTCATTCTGTTAAAAGTTCCAACAGAAATTTATATTCTGGCATGCCAGCAAAGAGAACTTGCAAAAAAATGGATTTCAAGATGGAACGATCAATGGTATGTAAGAGATAATTTTTTGCCTTCAGATCATTCAGTTTTGCTATGAGCTGCTCGTTGTCTTAAGCTCCTTCTGCTGGTTTAACAATGTCATTCGTAATAACATCCTAATATTCATTAGATTGAAGGAAGTTCTCTATCAACATGCTCCAATGATCATAGTGACCATCTAAACGTGAAATGACTACAAATGCAAAATTAGAATTTGTAGCCATGACTCTATATTTTTTTTACAACTCTCTTCCCTCGCGTGTTTGACTCGTAACCTAGCACTCGATACCATTGTTAAAAGTTAAAATTCTAAATAATTGGAACACATACAATATATTAGAAAAGGGAATGCTTCGTTTATTCTTCTTCCAATACACAAGCCTATTATTATAGGCAATACAAAAATAAAATAAAAATTAAAGCATACCAATGACAAGACTCATTACACAACCAACAAAGAGTCACATTACATTACCAATAAACACTCGTAAACATCCATGAATATCCATTAGACTGCTCATAACACCACACCGTTATACACTTAATAAACATCAACAACATCACAATTATTTAACTTTGTAACTCACGCAGAAACAAAGAGACAAATGACTTTTCAACCCGAAGATGTGCTTAGAATCTTCCCTAACCACTTTTAGGAAAGTTTATGTGGGGGAGCAGAGGTGAAGCCGTTGGAAGGTCACAGATTAGCTAAAAAGTTATTGTGATTGAAAAGTTGGAATGAGTGATTAACACGGGAGAAGCCTCCATCAATCATAAGATTCTCTCCACTTATATACCTAGCATCATCACTTGCTAGGAAGAGCACAGCATTAGCCACATCATCAGTAGTTAATTCTACACCTTTCAGGTTTGCAACACTCCCAATTAAAGCATGATAACCGGCCACAGCTTCAACAGTTTTCATGTTCTCAGGCAAATCAGGCAAACCTAAACCTGTTAAGATTGCATAAGGTGACACACAGCATTCTTTGACCCTGTATATGCATGTGGTGCTAACCCCCCTATGACACTTGCAACACTGCAAGTAGAAATGATGGAACCCTTCTTATGTGGGATCATAATTCTAGCAGCATGTTTCATTCCATGGAATACTCCCTTCACATTTATATCAAATACCTTCTCAAATTCTGATGAGTCCACATTGAGGATATCAGAACAAACTGATCCAGTGATTCCAGCATTGTTGACTATGATGTCAAGGGTGCCAAATTTACTAACAATGAAGTCCACTGCATTGCGAACATCATCTTCTAATGTAACATCACAATGGACAAAACATACATTTGCTTCATCACCGAGGGATTCACAGACTTTCTTTCCAAGGTTGTCTTGAACATCAGCTATACAAATTTTAGCACCATGGATATGGAACAGGCGAACAATGCTTTCTCCAATCCCAGAGGCCCCACCTGTAACCAATGCTACTTTGCCTAGTAATCTGAGGAAAATAGAAAATAGGTAACTTCAAGTCACATAATTGTGGAATTTTCCATACAAAATTATGCTTTATGGAACTTTGAAACCTTAGATGATACCATTAATAATAGACACTTAGATATACAATTCTAAATTATATTAGAGTAACATTGCTCTCAAAATGAATAACTCCATGGCTCAAATTAAAACTTTTAAATTATAGCGCCAAGTAATAAAATGACATGCGGACCAACAACCATTGGTTGAAGATAAGGAACTTGCTCGGTCTCGAGTTTCAATCATTGGAATGGATAAAATAGTATTGGAAGAGACCCTCCTAATATGAGTTCAATATTACTCGAACTAGATTAAACAGGCTTGAACTATTTATTAATCGGTTTATATCTAGCGGGTGTCCAAATATATATGTCGACACAACACAACATATATTTGACACGACACGAATATATTAATACGAACACAATAAGAATTTTCTTCGACACAACACGATCGCAAATTTTGCGGATTCACATGATACGAATGAAACACAAATTATGGGTCAAAACGGTAAATGACAAATAGAATTAAAAAATGGGTCAAAATTAAAAAAGAGTAAAGCCTTTTTTGGGTCCCAAACAAAAAATACGATCCTTATTTTAGTCCTTTACAAAAAAAAAAAGTCGTTAGGTCCCTATGAAATTCAAAGTGAACCCATTTTAGTCCTTTCGAGGACGAATGTGAGTCTTTTTTGAATTTGTGAAGGACCACGATTTCAACTAAATATGTTCACTTTGAATTTCTAAAGTACCTCAAACACTATTTTTTTTTTTTGTAAGAGATTAAAGTGGAATCGTATTTTTTTGTTAGGGACTCAAAAAATGCTTTACTCATTAAAAAAAATGGGTTGAAATGATATTGACACGACATGAATTTTTTTGTAGGTCAACACAGTATGAATTTTTGTGTCCTGTTGCAAGTCGACCCGAGATCATAACATGTTTTGAAACCCCTATTTATATCTAACCGTTATAGATAAAAATAAAATTAACGGCTAAAATTAATAATACATAAAGAATTTTAAAAATTCAAATAACGTCCTTTAGACATTATCTTTTATTTGTTTAAACCACTAAACTCTCTCAAATAATATATATATATATATATATATATATATATATATATATAAATAAGGAAAGGTTATATTTATAAACTTTTTATTTTTAAACTCTTACAAACTACATTAAATATAACCAGTCATATTTTAATTAAGATTGTATAACCGGTTATACTAATTTGTAAAAAATATTTATAAACAGATTGTTCCCGTAAAAAAAAGCCAAAGCTTCATGCAAAAACAGGATAAACTACAACAATAAAGCCACTATTAGCTGAACCTTGGTGTTGGAGGCGAAGACAGAACCAAGGTGGTGGACATGGCTGTATGCACTTTCTCTCAGTCTTTTCTCGTCCTATAGTTTGTTGATAGTGTTGTGGCTGATCATATTCATTTTTCATTTCATGTTCCTCCTTTTAAAGTAAGATTTCTGTGTTTTCTTTAACAAAAATTCATGTCGACATTACTGGAGTAGTTAGGGGTAGTTGTTGCTGATCATCTGTATATGATCATGTCAGATGACAACCAGAGGTTGTACGCACCTCCAATCTATCTTTCATGTCCTTCACTTGGCAGATGGATCCATTCCGGTTATGCTGAATCAATGCTCTTATATTTTATTTTATCAGGATATTATCTCAATTATTCATGGATAGATCAAACAAGAAGAAAAAATAATCATTAACTATTCGCTGTTGATTTATGAATTAATTAATTAATTTTACAGATTATATCAAAATGAAAAATACTCTTAGGTTTATGTTTCTTATGTTATAGGAGATATAAATTTATCTCATATACACATAAAAGGGTTTAGGTACGTATTTTCTTTTTCTCCCTCTTTTCCTAACATGGGTAACACACATATTTTTATATATATAGTAGATAAATTTATCTCCTACAATATGATAAAGATTAAACCCTTAAATTAATATGTGAAACGGACACACCGTCTTGTCTATCCCTTCGCTATGTCTTTCTTATCCTTCACCTTGTAGAGACTAGAGAGTAAGGGTGAAAGTGGACTGGGTTGGGCCAAACATTGCCTTGTGTTCCGGATACTACTTACTTAGGCCCACCAGATGAGCTCAATCGCTTAAAGTCCATATCTAAAACCTTCTAGAGGGCATTCATGGCAAGCCATAGAGGCTCACTACTGGGACATTCCTCATCCTGCACTGCTGCCACACTGACAGGGAGCAGCTTGATGAGACAGCTCATGGGCTGACCAGCTCAAGCCCCCATAGAAGAGAGGAACCTCCTCTCTAAATACCTCTCTCAGACATGGAGAGGGAATCTTCTTCTCCCCCATTCCTCCCATATGTTGTCATACATTCACACTC